CTCTCTGTAGTCACTGCAAGCTAACGGAAACAACCGAACACTTTCTACTCTACTGCAGTAAATTCAAAACAGCCAGAAGAAAGTTCAGAGCTCAATTGAAAAAAGAAGAAATTAAAGTTAACTGGAATAATGCCAGGAAATTGATCGACTCACCTCTTGCTTTTCCATTATTATCTGATTTCATTCTTCGAACTAAACGATTTGTATTTTTTCATTCTTACATACAGGAGCGTCACCACGGGATAGGGTCACAGGACAAGGAATAGAAGGTCGAAAATCCACAATACGTCACATAGCATATCAGCAAACTAAATTGTTCCACCCAACAGGCAGGACGCCCCACCTCCTTCCTTAGATTGGGGGACGAGTGGACAGCGGAATTCGGGTAATCAAAAAACAAGAACCCTCAACATACATCAACGTCATTACTGCCTTTCAAAACAAAAGCTCAGCGGTATCTAGACAGATTGTCACTGTTAATGCATATGAAAGCATAGTCAGGATTGGTAAACAATCCACGACAGAACATACAGGTTTGAGTTATCCTTACCTTCCACCTTAGATTGGGGATGAGTCTGTGAAACTCTACTGTCACTGGAGCTCGAATCACTGCATTTGTAGGAAAAGTTCGAGAGAATCGTCGCGAATGGTAAACATCCCCGACTAACACACAATCCCTGGACTCCTTACCTTCCACCTTAGATTGGGGATGAGTATGTGAACCATATTGTCACTGTGTCTCTTTATTGTTTAAAAAAAAAAAAAAAAGACGGAAAAATGTAAAGATTAACAGACCCTTCTAATTCATGTACCTGACTAGGGGACCCCCTTTCTTGGTGTACTAGTCTCCTTCAAACTACTGTTCAGATAGTGTAATATGCAATTCAGCAACTTCGCACTTTAAAAAACTTCGCACTTTAAAAAAAAAAAAAAAAAAAAAAAAAAAAGACTCCCAAGGTCTGCGTCCCAGGCTCTTCACCGGTGCGCTACATAACAAATTGAAAGTGTTCCCAAAGCCTGAGACGGTACTCATCAGTCCATTTCAGGAGGGGGTGTGTAAGTTGCAGAAAATGGGGTGTCACGGATACCTACACAAGTGGCGTGAAATCCGTGACTGTAAGGTTGTGGTAAGGCAAGTGGAAAATTTTCAGATGTCCATCTGGACTTGCTCTCACTCACTCTCTCACCCCGCAATTTTCTCTCTCGGCAACTTTCCTCTCAATCTCTGCAGACTCTCATAGCTTTAAGCTCTTTAAAATTTTTGTGCCCGCCCGCCATCCCGGAGCTGAGAAGCCCGAGTCTCCTAGAGTTCTGGTCTCGCCCCTGAGGCAAGAATGGTTGAAGCTTTAGGGCTAAAACCCTTTACTTCCCTCAGAGGCCCCCCCCACACCACGCATAGTAAATATTACCTCATAAACAGTAAATGAGCGAATGGCTACTGTGGTAGACCAATCTCAAAAGAGACTTATACTTTTCAGTTTCGCTATTGCATTACATAGAAATAAAAACATATGTAAGACAAAGTCTTAGATAGGTAAAACAAAGTTACATGAAGATATCTATCAAGTAACATGTAAAACCTGAGTCCATGAGTCCTGAGTCTCACGCCTCGACTGAAATGGATTCGACGTATTTTCATATTTCACAGTCTGACAGTTTCAAATGCCATTCATCTCTTATCATGTCAGCTTCAAACTGCATGGTTCGACACATTCGCGCTTTCAGGTTAAGTAACATGGATTTTTGCGTGGTTTATGGATCAGACTCGATGTCAATATGCTGCAAGATCATGTAGCTGTCTCATTTGAAACCACTTTCTATAGGTTGGTATGTGTCTACAGAGTCTCCGACGATTGTGGCATATTCTTTCCTTCAGAAGGGGCTGCTAATGATCAAGAAGAGACAAACAGCCCATGAAGCAGCCTCCATTTGACAAAGTCTAAAGATCTAAATCCCCAATAACATTTTTTCTTCTCGTGCTTTTGTGAATCACATTGACAGTCAAAGTTGATATATGTACTAGCAACTAGGATAGGTTATATGTTGATAGGCTTTGATCCATTGCTTTGAGTTTGAGTTGTTGAATTGAAACTTGAAGGTGATAATGGGATTAAAGATATTTCCAGTGCTGTTGTTGGATCTGGTGAGGTTGAAGTTGAATCTGAGTGCCTGGACATTTTTGAGAAATCAACAATTAAAAATCTCATCTCAATCACAGAGTACTATCACACCACTATACTCTTCAACTCCGATGTAGAACTCCTACGCAGTGTAGCGTAGCCTACGCAGTGTAGCGTAGGCTGAGCCGGAGAGGGTAAGAATCACCACTCGTGAGAGCGGATGAAACTACGGGTGCGGTGAAGCTGCCCTCAACCTTTTGTTGCAGTTCGAAAAGAACCAGAGCAATCTAACAATTTTCTATCTTCACGAATTTTTCCCGTCAAACTTTGTTTATCCCGTAGATGGACGCGCAAGGTCTGGCGGAGCCTGGCGGTGTACTGTACACGCCTACACAACCTCTATAACCAGAGTTATGTAATTTTCGATTTTTTACTACTTTTGGATTTTGAGTCCGCAGCGTACTTTTACAACTGGAGAGGGGGGAGATGGTTTTGTCGGCGGTGGGGATTTTCCAGGAAATTGTGTACTCGGACCCGGTGAGAACAATTTGATTGTTTTCGAATAATCGGCGAAGTCGAATTTCCAGAAAGGGGTTTTTCAAAATTGACGAATTTGTTGAAAAGATGGGATTCAAACCGGTGCTCAGGGTTGGCCCCGAGTTGTTTGAGATTTCACACTCCGTGACACAAATAACAAAATAAAAAATAATAATAATAATAAAGATCAACGACTTCACACCAGCTCACACTGTGGGCAAAGACCTGTTGTATCCCGAGTTGCGACATTTTGGGGTTTCACATGGTATGAAACACCACCTGTATGCCCCACGTATGTAATCTGTATGCGACGGTACTGCTCCGGCTGCGACAGTTAGCCGCGGCTAGCGACACCTCCCTTTTGAGAACGACAGTTGCTTAACTGAAACGTCAGTTGCTCAACTGAAACGACAGTTGGCTGTGGCCTGCAACAGTCTCAGTAATCCAACCTCATCCTCAAAGTGATCAACTTGACAGATTATTTGCATCAAACTTCCCTTCGACCATGCTTATCTGTACCTGCTCAACTTGCATAAATGAGACATGCATCAACAAAGACGGGCATCGTGTTGTTGGACAATGGAAGACTCGACAAACCAAGCTCGCACATCACAAAAAAGATCTTGACAATGAACTTACCAACAGTTCCTCCTCCGAAAATCTACAAGGAGGTGCAAGCCCAGATGCACAGAAATATGAATCCAGCCAAGTAAAACAACGTTGGGTCAAGAACTCTTCTTGCAGCAGTAAGCTCGTTGAATCCTCACTTACATGGACTACATAACTGATTTGATATTGTTCAAATAATGTTCATCAGCTGTTACTCTGATATATGTCTTTCTTGCATGGCTTCATCTTTTCTGCGGTGTCAGCCGCATTAATTGTCATAAAGCCCGGAATTTCATCCTTCAACTGCTTACCGCGGCGCGCGAAGAAGAAAGACTAGACCGGGAAGTCCATGACGATCCGCCTGAAGACCAGGATAAACTTGTACCGAAGGACATCCGTACAATCATCAAACACCTTGACATCACCCCTGAATTTGAAGAACGTATCTGCTGCCCGACCTGCTTCACGTTATATCCAATTTCCGACGCTCCGTGGACTTGTGACTATAAAAAATCTCCAAAGGCTCGAGAATGTGGAGAGGATTTATTCACGATGAAAACAATGTATCAGAGAATCAATGAGAAGGAAAATAATCAAGAAGCATCTAAGAATTTACCAAATACGAGGCCGTTCGAAAGAGGTATACCCCGCAGTGTATACGTCACTCAGTCGTTTTCATCATGGCTCCAATGGTTATTGAGCAAGAAATCAATCGAGAACGATATTGAAAGCTGGAATACGAAACTATCTCAGTCAAACAGCTCAGAAATAATCGACATACAGCAGTCGATTGGATTCTCCGAAATTTCATGGGACGATGCCGAGATCTCTCAAGAAACAACCTCGGACCCTCCTACTCTGAAGCTAGTCTTTTCCCTCTTTATTGACTGGTTCAACCCCCGTGGAAACAAACAATCTGGAAAACAACAATCCCTAGGGGTTCTCGCTTATAATTGTCTCAATCTCAGCCCACCACTGCGAAACTTGACAGGGAATACCTGTGTGGCTGGAATTATCCCTGGTCCAAATTCCCCCGACAAGATGTCAATTTCTCACATACTAGAAGATACCGTCGACGACCTTCTTTTACTGGACAAGGGAATCATTATTCCTACTTCTCAGTATCCTAACGGCTGACGAGTACGTGTCCGGTTACTTACTTTATTGGGCGATATCGTCGGAATGCACAAAGTAGCAGGCTTTGCTTCCCATGCAGCGAACTATTACTGCTCTTGGTGCTGGGCCCATTCTAAAGAAAAGGCTGATTTGAAAATTGGAAAATTAAGGAACAAAGAAGAAGTCATCAAGTTATCTGAAAGTTCAAAGGCTGCCAAAACCTTGGCTCGGAAAGACGAGATACTCACAGAAACTGGCATCCGCTGGTCCGAATTTAATCGGCTCACCTATCGAGATCCAGTACTGCATCTTCCGCTTGGAATCATGCATAATTGGTTTGAAGGTGTCTTACACCAGCATTTTCGATATCGATGGGGCTTTGTTATTCCGTCAGCGTTTGAGAAGGGGGAAGCTAATAAGCGCAAAAGGTTGGGTGATGGAAAGGTTCAGAAACCTGAAAAACACATTCTTTATGATGACGGTCATGGGAATCGAAAGGAAGACTTGGATTATAACTCTGAAGATGATGAATGGGAAGATGACGGAGATGAGGAGCTTGATGGGGGTTGGAATGGAGGTCTCTTCAATCAGGATCACATCGGTCGATTTCGGAAACAAATGCAAGATATCGTATTGCCAACCGGGATCACCCGACTGCCTCCAAATCTGGGAGAATCAAAACATGGGAAGCTGAAAGCCGCACAGTGGCACAGTTTGTTTGCCTATGTCATTCCACTGATTGTTCTGGAGCTCTTTGTGTTAGATGTCAATAAGATTGTTGAAGATTCCAACCAAGGTCAAATTTTATTAAATATCGCGGATTTATGTCAGTGCACAAACATTGTTTGTGCAAAGATGGTAGCAAAGAAGGATGCCGAAAAATTTGAAAGTTTTTACCGCCGATATTCGAAAACATCAAAAAAGATCTTTGGGAACATGACAATCGTTCCAAATCACCATTACGCCCTACATATTCCGGATCAGATCAGGCGTTGGGGTCCTCTTAGTCAGGTGGCTGAGTTTTCAGGAGAGCGATTGATTGGAAACTTGCAGAACATTCAGACAAATACACACCTGGGTATGTTAATCACTCTCTTGTCTTAAAATACTTATGCACAAGCTTATGACCGTCTTGTTTTTGTTCTCAGCTGAGATGGATAAAACGATGATGACACGCTTCTGCCAGCTACAGAGGCTTCTGGGGGATCATCGAATGGAAGACTTATTCAGCTCAGAAAATCCAACTGACAAAGCATCAAAACCAACCGTCAACAAAAGAAAAATTGAATTGAACAAAAATACATATGATGCGTTGCTGGCCCACATTCAAAAAGACAATCCCAACATTCGGCATCATTATCACCTTCCTCATCCACCAAAGGCACAGGTCTTACATCCATACACAACTCCAAAAGCTTACTGGCTAGTATCGAAATTTGTATCGGTATCAGTCCTCAAGCCAAACAACTGTATCAAGTACAAGGTAGGTGGGAAATCATCGTTTGGAATGATAAAGCAGATATATCAGTTTACTCACCCTTCCGGCCACAAACAAACCAAATTACTTGTCAATCCGATTGAAAATATGTACGCTAAGGACCTATCATCCCCGTCACATTACTTCCGCTACCTGCTGTTCTTATTAAAATGTGTAGTAGGAAGAGTGCAGTCGCAAACCATCTTTGTTTCCCCTAACACAGTCACGGCGGTTGCAGCTTACAGGCTCTTAGATGATCACACTCACGCAATTCCTAAAGATGGAGTAATCTTGCGTCCATGTGACCACACATCAGAACTTGACATCTTGTAGAATACTTCGTCCGTCTTTGTTCTTAACTATTCAGCACGAAAAGGTGTTTTCTTTTTTTGATTGCTGTCACTCATGAATGAAATGAATCCGCCACTATGGTTTCTCTCAACTTTTTAACTGATGTGACATTTCATATACAAGCAACAAAAAACAAATCACATAACTAGTCTTGAAAAAAGGTAAGGACCAAACAAAGTTAACAAGAGTATAGAAAGTATAAACAACAAAAAAAAATCGGATAACAAGTCTCGACAAAAAGGTAAGGACCAAACAAAGTTAACGAGAGTATAGAAAGTATAAACAAAAAAAAACGGATAACAAGTCTCCACAAAAAGGTAAGGACAAAACAAAATTAACGAGAGTATAGAAAGAACAATGATAAATGTAAACACAAGAAAAGCCAAAGAGACTATAGAAATGTTTAAGAACCAGGGAATGAATGAAAATCCCTAATTATCATCGTCAGAATCATCGTACAAGCTACCAAAATCGCCATCGGAGTAAAAGTCGGATTCAGATGATGGTTGTTGGGCATTTCGCATGGTTGCATTTGTAGAATCGCCACCCGTGCCTTCATCAGAGTTATTGCTCTCATTGTCTTCAAAGTCTTGAAATTGGTTTTCTGACTGATCATACGGCTGTGACAATATATCAAGGTATTTTGCTGTGAACTCATCATCATCAAGGGTCTCGTCGGGATGCTGTTTTGCAAGTAAAGACTCAGCGGCGTTCGGTAGGAACACAACCTTAGTGGCATCGGGATACAGTCGTTTTTGACCGGCATTCAATTCGTTGAACCATTTTGGATTGTAGAAGTCGATCGGTAATTCCTTTGGGACTCTGGTGAAGATTGAAGGGCGTGGGACTGTGGGTAATCTACGCTCTGTACGTCGGATCGGTTTTTTGGACATCTGGGCAGCTTTTGCCATCTCGATATCTAATCTTCGGCAGAATTTCCCAGCGTTCTTTGACCGATAAGGTTAGGTTTTGATTATACAAAAATTGGAACCAGGCTCTTGCTCATCGTCACTGTGAGCAAGGATATCATCACAAAGCTTTCGGTAGCGTGGCGGAAACACTTTTCAATTGTCCTTCAAAAATTGTACACGGCTGTCTCTGAGCTGAAAGAGCAAAGGACATCCGAATATTGGTCAGTGAGATGAACAGATAAAGAATTAATGCATTTGAAAACTGCTTACTCGTTGACGATGTTTTTGAATCACCTTTTTAGTGCTTTGATTTTCAGCACGACCAGCTTCTTTAACCTCAGCCTTGAATTTACCTTCCATCCAATAATGTACGTAGTGATTGTAAGTAATAATGAAAAGTGACATTGATTCCGTATACTTTTGATTTACGTTCATATAGTCATAGGCGCCAGTTGCCAACAGCTGGCGAAATGATGATAACGCGGTGATTCGACAGGCTGAGTTATACAATGAGTCAGGTGCATCATTGAGGTCCGGACCCCACACGCGGATGCCTACTTTAGCCAATAAACCATGAATATAAAGAACATAGGTCTGGTCAAGATGGGCCATACCACGCCCGACCTTTCCGCCACTACGTAGCGCTTTTAAAGTAACAATATCATTCTGAGCCACCAGATCAACACTTCGAGGGTCCGCAATGACTGATTCAACTTGGTCAACACTGGAAAATCGAGCATAAAACTCCTTCAAGAGGTTTGGATCGGGGGGAGCTGGAACGTCGTTTGCTTTGAGCAATCCCCATAGCACCTTGATGTGGACAAACAAAGCATCCTGTGATTTATCCATACAATGCAGCTGTGAGTATTTGGTGTTTTATGAGGTATATTTCCAATTTTAAGAACGTACCTTAGTGGATTTGAAATCCTTGTCGATCTCAGTTGACCACAGCTGAAGGGGATGACGTCGACGTGGCGACGGTGCTGGTGGATCTGGGCTCTTGACGGGAGTTTTAGATTTGCGAGGTGCTTTACTAGCTGGGGTTGGGGTTGAATAGGAGTTGGTTGATGCTGAAGAACAATTCAAGCGGTCTCGTTTGGATGACGTCTCTGGAGTTTGTTTCGAGGTTGACTTCTCGCTTCGCTTAGGTGTTTCGCCAAGGCCCTTGAGATCTTTGAGTTGATCTTGTAAACCGGAGACAATGGTCTCAAACTGAGCTGCCTGTTGCTGCAAGCTGTCGTTTATAAGTGCTGTTAACGCAGTGGTCGTAAGAACTACGCTGTTTGATGAGGTGGCTGGTTCTTCGGTTTGCATGGTGGAATCATCGTTTTGGGATTGCATGATTAAAGGGAGAACTAGCCAAATTGGGCGGCGGGCGCCGCATCCCCGACAGATGAATTTACTAAAATGTTCTACGTACTCATCTCTTCCATTTCTCTTTGTCCCTCCTGACTTGCTGATCCTAAAGCAAAACGGCGCAACACATTTCAGAATGTATGATGTGTGCCTATTACAATCTATTCATGTATCTTTTTCTAAGACAACACCTACTCATTGAACCTCTGCGATGCAGACTTGCAAAAAAAGTCCAACTCAAAACTTTACAGTTTCACTATGTTGCAACAATGTACTTCCTGCCAGTTGGCTATTTAACAATGACAGTGGACTCTCATCAAACAAGAAATCCACCTTAAGCTGGCTCCAAATCAGTTACTTATTAATAACATTCTCTCCTTGATTGATTCAATATTCAGTTACGTAGTTTGTCTATGTGCAACAACTTAACTTTGTCACTTGACCCATTACTTTTCTTTTGGCAGGCATGCCAACTCCCAATTCACAGTAGCTCGCTCAATCTTTGCCTTTTCATATCATACGTCAGACGACAGGACACATGTGGTAGAAAAACTCCGTGTCTTGCTGCACCACACCATCTTGCAAATTGAGCACATGACTTACTTCACAACATAATACTACGTCGATTACAAAGCCTTTTCACGACCTTTCTATACACCGCAGTAGACTGTAAACAAAAAACAATTCAAGTAAAATTCTACATAGTTCGATTCACAGCTGCCTTTTGACAGGTACAATCAAATGGTGCTGTCTACTGAGACGCATCATAACATCAATTTTGGATAGCAGTCTATTACGTAACTCATGAACCTATATAAGTCAAATGTATGACACTACGTCAGAATTCCGTACAACTTTGCTTAACTTGAAATGACGAATTTACATACGGAGTACTCGATTTTAGTCCACTTCTACTATCTTTTCAATATCCAATTCATCCACCAAGTTCTACAACAACAGAAGATGTGAGCTATCCACAATCATTCATAAACAAAACCAATAGACATATGACCTACCAATATCTCAATGTGACTTAACCGCATTCTAAAATGACATTAAATCTTACCACCTGCGAAGAAATTCTCCAACTCCTCATCTGACGCAGGCCCACCATTAGATGTTACAAAGACAATATGTCTTATATTTGATCCTTTGCTGAAAGCAAATTTTGCCAATTGTTTCAAAGCATAACGCCAGTTGAGTCGCCCTTCATGGAAATCAGTCACCAAGACTTTTACTGCCTGCATCAGTGGCCAATGTAACCAATCCGGGGATGGGTTCGAAGGATTGATGTATTTGCTGCGTATGACTTGGAGTGTTGGCAGACTGTGAAAACGTATCTTGCGTAGGTTATGTACGGAATGCGAGATGTGCCAAAGTGCCAAATCAAATTTCAAAAAAACAAATTTCAGAATCCCCGGGTCAGAAATTGACAAAAATGGATTAAACTTTAAAATTAACTCAAATAATGGTCTGAAACCCCCTGTATTTGGGATAAAACCACACTTTCTGCCAGTTCTCACAGTTTACTAACCACGACTCCAATTTTGACCGCTGAGTTGGCACTTTGGCACAAAATATACGTGGAAATTTCAAGGAATCAAATGTTCAACATGTCAAAATTCACCAACTTAAAAAAGCACAGAAGACAAAACATAACACCTAACACACAACAACAATACTAGCCAAAACCTACTTCTTCCACAATCATGATTGACCTAGTCTTAGGTTGCCCACAGCTTCAGTCAATTCACTGAAGAAAACTGGTATGGGTGTACCGCCGGTCCCCAGGTAGCTGCTTCAAACAGGCTACTTAATCCTGGTTTTA